AAACCAAGAAAAACCAAAAAAAAAAAAAAAAAAAAAAAACAACTACTTAGAGAATGGGAGAATATTTGCAAATATTTCTCTATCCAGAATACATACACACACGTGATAAACAATTACAATTAAAATATGGGCAATGACTAAAACTGTCATTTCTCCAAACACATACGAACAGTGCAAAGGGTACATGAAAAACGTTCAAGAGCTTCCACACAGCCACATCATGAGACCTGGTTCACAAACACATCACGTAAGACAGACACCTGTCTGCCTCGAGTCACTTCTCTCCTCTAAAACACACACCGTGAGGAACACACCACACGTGTTTGTGTGGCAAAACTGTGGATGGACAGTGTCAAGCTCTTTAAGAGACGTGGGCTTTTGTAGCAACTTATAAACTTGTGCTGTATTGCTTTCAATTAGGACTTTTTTAGGTTTGTATTTTCCAGACAGCATCAGACTACAGAATTTTGGGAAAGGAGGTCTAATTTACCTTTCAGTGGAATTGCTAGGCCCACATGAAGTATTTTTCAAATCAAGTTCTCTGGCTTGGACCCTCTGAACGTGAGTTTCTGAAGGACACGCAGGACCTCAGGAGCACTTAACTGAGCACAGTACTACTTAATAACAGAAAGTAAAATGATAATAAACTTAAGTCTTACATAACTTCAGACTACAGGAGAAGTTTGAACTTTTAAGTATATGAAAGGTAAATTTGCCTTGATGTCACATAATGGTAAGCTAGTTTTTCACACCTGTTTTTTAAAACAATGAAAATCCACTGCTGAAAGCAGTAAAAGTCACCTATATACACTCAACTTCATGGTGATGTCAATGATTTAACAGAGGTACCTTTCACTACGGGGTGAACAGGTTGGTCCCAGAATTCCGCACAAATACCAAAATATATAAATGCACATACCCTTACATAAAACGGCAGCTGTGCATGATCTGTTCACACCCTCCCACATTCTTTGTTCCTGTATTACTCACAACAGGTAACACGATGTAAAAGCTATGTTAACCACTGTTACCCTGTACTGCTTAGGGAATGAGAAAAACGCCTGTACTGTTCAGTACAGACACAATATTCTTCCCTGAATATACCTGATCTGAGATTAGCTGACTCTGCAGATGTGGAACTACAAGGCCAACTGTACTGCATGTAAGGTCTCTTTGCAAATCTGCCCAATCTCGTTCCTGTGTGTTTCAAAGAAAAAGATGAGAGCCTCATACTCACTACGTGGCAGAAAAAGCACAGTAATGTTTAGAGAATGAGGAAAAAAAAACATACCTAGGTTGTGCCGCTTTGCCTTGGCATGTTCGTGAATATGCTTCTTTGTGAAGCAGCCGAAGAAGACACAGTAGAGGCATGAGTGCAGCCGGTTCAGGTGGACGCCACACACGTGGCAGACGCAGGACTTTGCCTGAATTCAGAGAGCAGAATTAATAAACAGTGTGCGCGCAACAGGAGTTCTCAAAGGGAAACATGCAAGCCAAGGAAGGAAGGGAGGAAGGGGGGAATTTCACCTCGAAGCCACTGGTTTGTTCTCTCCATTCCCCTAGAGAACTTATCCAGCTCAACACGAGCTCCATGTAAGAAAACAGCCGTGACCTTAACTATCCCAGTACTCTGGGATGTTCACCACATTCCCCTCCCCAGCAGCGCCCTCACTCTAGGATAGCAACTCCCTCTAGCCACCCACAACCCAGGCATCACTTGAGGCTTCCCAAGCCAGGTCCAAAAGCACAGCAAATTAAGAAGCAAAATGATGAAAACAAAATCACAAAAAAGAGGAACAGGACATGAATCAAAGCAATATACACAACAAAAAATAAGTTTACTGCTGAGATATGTGGTAGTGCATGCCTGTAACCCCAGCACTCCAGAAGCCAAGGCAGAGACTGCCATGAGTCTGAGGCCAGCCTGGGCTACACAGTCTGTTCATAGCTAGTGTGAACTGTGTAGCAAGTGAGACCTGTCTCAAACACAAAAACAGAAAGTTTAAGGCCAGGATGTAGCTCAGCGGCACAAGCACCTACCTGCCAGGCAAACGTAAGGTCCTAAATTTGATTCCTGGTACCAAAAATGACACACACACACACACACACACACACACACACCCCAGAAAGTTTATTGTCAAGAAAAAGACCACAGAAAACTAAATTTCAACTGCAGCCACAGGTGGAAAGAGGGGCCGGGATAAGAACCCCACTGGGCAATCTTGGCACAGTCTGACCATAACCATCAATAATTACAAGAATGAATTATTTACACTAAATAAAAACCCATGTCCATACTAAAATTAACACCAGACGTAAGAATTATACACTAGCGCTTTAAGTCTTCTTCACAGAATTCTATCAACAACTTTAGTGACAAAGAAAAACTTTCTTCAATTATAATCATCATAGTAATAACTGATTCAAGCAAAAAAGATCATCAATGAAGGTTAAAACTCGGTTTTAAAAAACCAAAGCATGGTAATCCACAAAAGCCAAAATCATGGGAACTGACCAGATATGGATCAACTAACGAATGGATAAATAAACTGTGGTATAGGGGCTGGAGATTTAGCTCAGCAGCACAGTGCCTGCCTGGCAAGCACTAGGTCGTGAGTTCGATTCCCGGTACTGGAAAAAAAATAAAAATAAAAAATAAAAAATAAAGAAATAAACTGTGGTATAAACACAACAGAGAAGGGAACATAACACGCTTTGAAAACCTGAGTACAAGTCAAAGGTTGGGTAGAAAACAAGGCAGGGGAATTCTAGATGAGCATCTGGAGACACGAAAAAACACAATGCATGACCCTGGGCTGAATCCACAACCAAATTCAAGTCATAAATAGCATTACTGTGGTAAGTAGTACTGCAGTTTGGATCTAGAACGTCCCCCTAAGACCATGTGCTTAGCAGCTCAGTCCCCAGTTTGACACTACTGAGGGTGGTAAAATGTAAGAGGTGGGGCCCTTGAAGCGAACGGTGGGATGCCAAGGGGAGCTGTGTATGTTCCCATGTCCCTGCTGGGAGGTACACAGGTTTGTTCCACCATGTACTCCCGCCATCACGTGCTGCCCTGCCAAAGTTCCAAAACAACAGGGCCAACCAACCACAGACGACCTCCAAAACTGAGCCAAGAAAAACCTTCTATCTCTTTTTTTGAAACAGGGTCCTACTATATAGTTTAGGCTGGTCTTGAATTCACTATGTATATCCCAGGTGGACTTCAAACTCAGAAACCTTCCTGCCTCAGCTTCTCAAGTGCTGGGATTATAGGCATGTGCCACCATGTCCCATGCTGAATAAATTGGATAAGAACACACTAATGTTTTTATGAGCCTACCTTTCTGTTGGATGGCACTTAGCAGCAGCATTCACTTTTTTGTCTTTCCTGAGACAGGGTCTTGCTATAGTTCAGACGGGCCTTGAGCTCACTTTGTAGCTCAGGGTCGTCTCAAACTTACAACAATCCTCCTGCCTCAGCCTCCCCAGTGCTGGGATTACAGGTGTGTGTCACCACGCCTGGCTAATTTTTGATCACACTGTACAGACACTCATGAAAGAGGACTTTATGAATAGACAACCTGCCATTTTCTGTGTTTAGTGTGGACTGCTTCGTTGGTTGGCGGCTTAACTAATGTTAGGAAAAGAAGCTGCTTTGAATTCGTCAGGGCAACAACACACATCTTCACTGGCTACTGATAAATCACATGTAGGAGTGACCATCTCACCATCATCTGCTTCTTCACCTACCAGAGTCACCCAAGGCGCTGTTTCATGTTTGTACATTTCTTTGAGCTGGATCCATTACAAATGAGTTTCAGTCCACTGGTTTTTCTTCCTGGGAATCTCTCAGGTACTCTCTATTTTATGTACACTGAGATCACACCTCTTAAACGAAACACTTACTCCACAGAAAGTCAACAGAATTGGGATCTCTTAACTCTACCTCTCGCACATAAACTTCTCTGATTTTCCCTTAAAAAAAAACAAAAAAAGAACTAGAAAAAAATGATTTTCCCTTAATCCTCTGTCATTGCTCAGATGTGGTTGTTCTTCTGATTCCGTAACATTTTATGTATGTTAGTACTGTGCAGATCGCCTCTGTGGGTTATTTTGTATTATGGTCTCTCCGCCCTCCTCTTAAAGCTTATTTATAATGTGGTGACTTTTCATAAAGTGGACACGTATCATAGCCCCAAAGAGAAGACAGTGCCCACCATCCCAGCAGCCCCTCACTCCTCTGCTGTCACTACTCTCACCTGCTGATACTCACTGCGCAGACTTGTGTGCACGCTGGCTTTGGCTCTTCGGTGCTGTACAAGCACTGCCTACCCTGCAGGCTACACCACAGGCTTTTTCCATTGCTGCCTAATGTTCTACGTATCTATTTTATTCCTGACGACATTTTTATTATGTTAAAAGCACTGCAAATAATATTGCTGTGAATGCTCTTTTATGTGTCAGTCAATACCAAAGTAGTCTTTTTATGTGTATCTCCTGAGTTCAATTACCCCAGAAGCTAAGGCCACCTACCGAACTAGAGCAGAGCATGTGGATTAAGGTGTGTGAGGCCTGCCTGGGTTTGGTCCCCTGCACCACTTTTTTAAAAAAGCCAGAAACGCTACAATTAACTCAGACTATCATAAAACATACAATGATGTTTGAAGAGTGGAAAACCCAAACTCAAGATGTTTAAATTCTAGCTCATCTCCAGAACCTCTGAATGTTATCCTATTTGGAAAAAGCTAAATAGGGGATCATTTATTTACTTTAAAATAAAGCAAAGGTCCTAAGATAATTGTCTCCGTTACTTTTCTCTCATTGCCGAGACAAAATACCCAACGCCCAAAATTAAGGATGGAAAGATTTATTTAGCTCACAGTTTGTGGAGATTTCAGTCCATATCAGCTGGCTCCAAGGAAGGGTGGCAGGGCACAGGGGCAACACTTCAAAGTGGCAGAAAACAGCAAAAGCAGCAAGAGGACAAGGGGAAGGCAGAACAAGCCTCCTTTCCTCCCTTATATTGTAAGCAGGCTGCCCCCACCTAGGGGGCGTGTGGCACTCACACCATCTCCAGGCCCTCCTCTTGCACAGGCTCAGGATGAATACAAAGTAAGCTGGGCTCCCTGCTGAACCACATAGTTACCTTCTAAACTTATCAAACTAACACAATGAACAACACCCCAGAAGGGTAAGGGGGTGTGTTTTTCACCCCAGGATGCAGAACTGCTGAGTCACTTAGCCAAGCCCCTACACTCAAGCTGACACAGTGCATCAACCACAACACTAATATTGTACTTGCCTATCCCATCATAAGCATCCTCCTAGGAGAGAGGAGAATGAACAGACGCAAAGGCCACGGACATGAGGCAGAGACTGGGTAACACTGCCCCAAGGCTGCAGATGCTGGGAGGGCGGGACAAGGTCCTTCCCAGAGCCTCTGGAGGGGGTACCCTGCCAACACCTTACTTGGGGATTTTGGCTCAGAGTCTGAGGATACATGTCTGTTGTTCTAAGCCATTCAGCTGTGGTCACTTGTTTAAAACAGGCGCAAGACAGCTCTACAGGACTCATGTTAGCTGTCACTCTTAACTTCTCTATTGCCACTGTCATGTCAGAAAACAAATACCCTAGACATTCTTCTAGGGTCTGTCTTACTTTCTCCTTTCTGAAACAAAATACCCAACACCCACAAGGTAAAGAAGGGAAGGTTTATTTTGTTTTTTTTGTTTTGTTTTTTTGTTTTGTTTTTTTGGTTTTTCTCCGGCACCGGGAACTGAACTCACGACCTTGCACTTGCCAGGCAGGTGCTTTGCCGCTGAGCTAAATCCCCAGCACTGGGAAGGTTTATTTTGGCTCACAATCTGTGTAAGTTTTAGTCTGCAGGGGCCAGCTCTGGCAGGGCTGCATGGCAGGGGAGAAACAGCCCACGGCAGGGCAGGCAGGAGGAGGCAGCTAGGTTTCCTTCTCCTTTCCCTTTTTATTCATTCCAGGCTACAAGCCTACTGGTTGGCTCCACCCACACCCAGGGTGGGCCTTCCCTCTTCAGTAAGTCTATCATCCACTCCCAGGACTATGCTAAACCAATCAACAGGCTAATCCAGAACCACACACCCATGGATTCGGTCTTTCCCAAAAGACCCACTTATGAGCACATGAGGCTTTTGGGGAACATGCAGATACAAGCCATAACAGGGTCTGAGGGAGCTAGGGACAGGGGCACAGGGGCTATGGCACTGGCACAAACACCCAGAGAAGGGGGCTCTGCTTCAGGAGCCCATGGCTGCTAGAGCTGCTTTCCCCGGGGCAGACAGGTTCGCTCCTGGCTTGGCTTCTGCGAGGAAATAGGGCTCCTCAGCCAGCAACCAAGAAAGGCCAGCTGCTGACCTAACAGCCTTCAGTCCTTTCCATTTCCAGAGGC